CATATGCTTTAAATTATGTTTTATAAATTTCTTGAAAACTCAAAAGTTTTCTGTTTAAATTTGCTGAGAATTCCGCATTTTCAGAAACGTTCAAACGTCATGGTCTCAAAAACAGCTTTCAATTTTTTTTTTCATTTTTTTAAACTGATGGTAAATTAATTAAACAACACTACATCTATTTCAGTTTAATGTATTCTTTTATCTTTTCAAAAATTACAGAAGTGTAATTTTTTTGAAAAATCTCTGAGGCCATTAGCAATTACCAGCAATTTGTATACATTATTGCGTTTGTGAGTCAAAGTGCATTAATTGATTTTCAGTTAAGTTTCTCCAAAAATCAAAAGTTTTCTGTGAATAAAGCCTAAGTTTCGCAATTCGAGAAACGTTTAAACATTTTCTCTAAAACGTCTCCAAATTTTCAACGAATATTTCCATATTTAACGAGATTTTACTCTTCTATAGTATTCTTTAAGTCATCAGTTATGCCATTAGAGGACCGAAAAATTGAGAAAATATGGAAAAATGCAGTTTGGGCGTTTGTAGTTTCTGCTATTCATGGCAACTGGAAAGAGGATGAGGCAAAACTGAAAAGCTAGCCCGCGACCAAAGAATTTAGAAAAGTAATTATAACGAGAAAGTCCGTGCTATTCCCCAAGGCTCCAACAGTCGGGCACGGAACACCCGCAGGCTACGCGGATTGGCCGCAATGGAAATTTGGCGTCACGTGTTGCCTTATGAGCACGTTCAGACCTGCGCGACAGGCGAGCATCGCGGCAGCGGATTGGCAGCGTTTTCTTTGGCCGCTTTCGTTTCCGTGGCCGCTTGAATTTCGGGGACGTCCGCCCGCCTTCAGGAGACTTCGCTCTCATCTGGTTCGAGTTCCTTGCTTTTGTTTATCGCATGCGGAAAAGTGTCCTGCGGATTCCGTCGCCGCGACTAGCGCGGTGCGTTCCTCGCCGCACCCGCTGCGGATCTCCCGCGCCGGTCTGTGAGAGCCACCAACCTGGGCGTGCCCGGTGTCACAGCCATGGTGTGTACCTGGATCCTCAATCACAGCGAAAATTGATGAATTTAGGATTTTTAAAAAAGTTTTCAAATAACGCAGTTCTAATTTTTAAAGGTAGTAATTGAATTTAGTTAAAATTGAATTAGTTGAATTACAATTTCGATCTGCAGTTGGAGTGGTTAAATAAAAGGAATGTTATTGAAAACAAAGTGAGTGGAATAAACATTTTGTGTTTTGCTGATTTCGGAAAATAATTGTTTCCTGAAACCAGCTTTTGTCTCAAACAAAAATGTTTTCTACCTTCTTATATTTTACGGCAACCAAGCTCATCTCGACCTCATGGAATACTTCAATACATTTTTAAATACGTGGTAATATAAATATATGGACCAAGCAATAATTTTGATACAGAATAAAATCTATACAATACCGATGTTCAAGAAAGAGAGAACATTCTTGGAAGCTTTAGATGGTGAAAAAATCACGAATAGAATCCAAGCCACTGACGACGACAAGTTTAAAATTATACGTATTGTAGATCTGGTGTTCAGATAAAATAAATGGAGTGGTATAGAGAATTGACATGAGTATCATATTACTATGTGGATCTGAATATTAAAGTCTGAATCTCTATACGACGTTTGAACCTCTCCAATTCATGACAGTGTAAAATTCTTCCGCACTTTAGTTCATTCGATGGCACGACAAGAGGTTTACAATGAAGTGTGCGATGAGATGTTTTATCATATTTGTCACTCGCTTTGGCGCAGCTACCAACAACCACTTCTCATTCTCAACAGTTTGATAATGCGCTCCTTAAAAAAGGACAACAATCAGGTGACTTGCTTCCATACGTTGTCGGCCTGCAAGAAAATGACACATCTAAAAAGAATTTCAATAATTAAATTTGTTCAGAGAATTGGTTGCCCCGACCGGGGTTTGAAACCGGACCTTCTGGTTTTCGCTCTGCTACTCTAACCACTAAGCTACCGAGACAACCAACCCTTTGAACAGTTGCCATGTAAAATTTTAATAAACAATTTGTTTTGCCGAGAACTGATTTAACATGAGCGGGGCCATTTTTTCGCGGTAAAACACAAATTGTTTAACTCCATGTAATAGAAGCCTTATGAACTGTTTTTAATGACTTTTTTACTAATAAAGTGGATTTATTTCTAGAGACGTTTCTTCTCTTAACTGAAAAATAAATTACCATTTCTAGATGTGTCGCTTTTCTTGGACATCGTCGAGAAGCGCAAAGAACAAAGTTCTTTCGTGGCTTGTGTGCAGTGCACCCAGAAACGAGTTGAAGATGCATCTTATCTTCCATTTTGAATGTCACATAATGCATTGTAATGGAGATTAGGGGCGGCGGAGTGTGGTTTTTTAAGACGGGCTCCGCTTCTTTTCAGGTCCGTTGTGTTGCGATGCGAGTAGGGTTTTCGCGTTATGTAAACGTCACCTACGCCGGCGGACGCCGAGACGATGCAATGGTCAAGGCGATGACGGTAGCATGGCGGCAGGTCGGCGGAGGGGGTGAGACGGGGACGGGTGTGGGCGGTAGCAAGGAAGTGGCTTAGCAAGGCAGATGGCTTATGGCGGAGACGAAAGGGACAATGGATGAAGTAGTGGCGACGGCGAAGCTCGGCGACTTAACGAAGTGTAGTTGTCCTCTTCTGCGGTTATCACAAAAACTTGGACGTTTAAAATTCTTTGGAGTTTGAACTCACACATCTTGTCTTAACTTCTCTGGCTAGTGTCCCGCGCAAGCCCGGAAAAGGGTTAACGCAATTCGTAAGTAGCGAGATCATGAGTAATTTTGCAGCTTGAGAAGATATGAAAATCTAACGTAGGTCGCGCATTTGAAAGCTCTCTATTTATGACTTCATTTTTGAAAACTCAGTCAACTACTCATCACTGTGGGATTAGTAACCTCGTCGTTTTATGAATAATGGGATTCAGGAGGAAATTCATTGGGAAAATGAGACATTACGACGTAATGCGAAATTACGCGACGAAAAAATGCGAAATTATATTTAAAATGCGACGATAAAACACAAATTCACAAAAATATCTTGATCATAGTAAAATGAAAGATGAAAATTTTATTTTACTATTCGTAATTTGTCTTTAAACGGCACAGCATGTAATATAGACTCTACGTATGTGGTTTTCAAATCCATTTGTTTACCCAGTGCTTCAGTAAGTACGTATGCGTCATCAAGTTTTGAGCCTTACTGTTACAGACAAACAATTTCTATAATTCTGTAAATTCAGCTATCACATCAATTTTGTGGAGTCATATGCCAGAATAGAACGATACCGGTGTACATAGAAAGAAGGTTAAATGTTTTTTGTAGCAACCGCTGTGAATTATAAAAATGCGATTTCCATGGCGAGAATGCCATAAATATTGCTGTAAATCCAGCATCATGGAATGTACTCAAACGTACGATATTATCTTCTGACATAGGCCCACATTTTTCTTGAATGCAGCACAATGTTTTGTTGCTCACAGGGTCTGTTGTAGTCCATTTAATCCCGATTGATTAAAATTTAAATCAAAATAATTACTCAGAAAGTGTTCATAAACTTATATTCTGAAATATATATGTAAAATTTATTGTTATGAACTTTTACTTCGGTTTCGGTTATATTTCGGTTATAAGAAGAGTGAAAATGTCGGATTGATTTTTAGTGTGCGTTACAAAATATTAGAGATCAGAAGTCACGAAAGCTCATTTTGCATAAATATCCTAGTTCCTATGCATTTTATGTTGATTAACCCCTTTACACATTTTGAAGGGTACTACATTTCCCACAAAATTGGACGTACATGATTTTTCTGCGAAGAACGGTTTTCGTGGTATTAAAGGTTACAAAAACAGAGGAAATGGTTTTCGTAAATATCTCAATTTGTATGCGTTGTACGTCAAAAGAGATTCGCATCAAACATGCAGTAAATAAAATTTTCTATAAATTTAATTGGAAGAACTAGTTCATAGGATTTGGTCAGGGCAGAAACAATTAAACAATTAGTTTGCCGACGTTTCGGAATCTTTTAATTCAATCATCAATGCTAGTGTATGAAAAAACAACAACAAACCATGACATCAATATAAATATACAATGCACAGATTAATAATATGATATGCAAAAAAGGATACAAAAACGTATACACCTCACTAAATAATTATGGAAATTGTACAAATACACCTGCTTATGCAACAGCTCATTAAGGTTTAAACCGGATTTACTATCAGATTTATACTTGCCTGGGAAAGAATTAACCACCTCAAACTTAGGATGGTGGACTTAAAACATTAATGTATTCGAGAAATTACCAACAACTTTGCCAGCAATATCTGACCAACAAAGGTTTTAAATATTTGTCTCCTGCATGTCTGAAAATAATATGAGCTTTAAAGCATGTCACTTGTTGACATCGCTTCCATGATTCATTTCTATTCGCAGAGTACAAGAATTTACAGATCTATAATGTGAATTGAATGGTGCTTAAAAGAACTTATGTATACATAAAACTCTGATGTATACATAAGTATGGTTGTTGAGCAACAAAGACTCAAAAGAAACAGAGTGCTGTATACAATTTTAAGTTACTCAGAATCAATAATATGCTTTCAATTCTACGTAATACGTAGCTGTTGTACAGGCACAGTTTACATAAGAGATCTGAGCACTCAATTTACCCCCCAGCAATTTCAAGAAGGGTCGCGACTGGGATATGCTGGGTGTTAGAATGTGGATTGAGAAATGTAGAACTACAATGCTCCACATTTTCTGGTCAATGTCACGGACAAACATGCTCCAACGCATCTAAACCCATTTTAGAATAAGATGATTTTTCTGAGCAACTTGCCTTTGATCTTATTGAACGTTCAACATCAAATGAATCTGCACGTGACAAAAATAGAGATCAGTCAATTAAACCAGAACATTCTCAAATGGAAGACGACGTCAAAGAGTCATAAAAATGTTCTTTCGGTTACTGGTACTGGTAATTAGAGGTGAATCGAGTAGTTGTTGATGCCACCTACCAGAAAGCTACACTATATTCTTCTAAAAATAAGTGGGGACAAGAGGAAGGGTGGATAAAAAAACGTCTAATATTCTACCTCAAGGGTGGTGTGGAAATGAATGAATTAGTTCGTTAAATGTTGTTAGTAAATTATATTTATTTACATACTTTTGTAGTTTAAAACGAAATGGTTTAAAGTTATAAATTGCATTGTAAACGACTCTATTCTATCCACGAATTTATCATCAACTCTTCTCCGCGCCATATCGTCCTACGGTTCGTTGTATAATTTCGTAATTGAAAATCAGTTGTATCGAAAATTTTATTTTCCACAATTTTGAACAGAATTCCATTTGACGTAAGACGCATTGAAATTGAGGCATCAACAAAAAAATTGTTTTGTGTGTTTTGGTAACTTTCAAAATCTTGAAAATCATTAGACGTAGAAAAAAATATTTAGAACCAATTTTGAGAGAAAGTTTACGCTTCAAATCTTGTAATAAGATTAGTCAACACAAAATGCACAGAACCCGAGAATTTTATTTCTAAAAAAAGACCGTTGATCTCTAATGTTTTGTAACGCACACGTTTTATCAATTAGAATTTCGATAAAACGCCAAGACAAAAGTCTCAGCGAAAATTCAGCTGAAAGGGATTTTTTTCTGCAGATGAATAATCTTACGTTGACGGAACTGTACGCGCGTGTGACTCCGGGCGTTCGCCAGGAAGCGAGCGATCCCGTGTGGCGCGGCACTCGGCTGCATGTCGGAGAATTCACAACTCTGTCCCACCCTCACGTGAGTACATTTGAAACAATTTTAAAGCATCAGTATTATAATAATGCAATCTTTAGGACCTAATTAGTAAGATATGCCCGACTTCTATATTTTTATAACTTACATAAGCCGACGTCCTATCCTGTACGGAGTACGCAATGCTGAACATCTATTCTTTCTTTTAAGAATACAATATGACTTCTCTGCGGAGGGTATATATTAATGAAAGATCAAACTTTTTGTTTTGATAACACTATTGTATTTATTGATTTTTTGCTTATTTATTTATGGCATTAAATTTATCATTTACGTGGCATGCCATAGAGATTAATCGTATTTGAAGTAATTAAGTTAAAGGCTTTTACTTTAGTGAATGATTAAACCTGTTACCTTCTTTGCAAATAAGTATTGTTTGACTGTCTTGTACTATGTCTTCTTTAGTGATGGATCAAATTTACGAAGGTGATATTCTCTTAATAGCCCTCGTTATTGAAGTCCAAGATCTTTCAGGAAGATTACCGTCTTTCACCAATAATCCTGTAGCTTGATGTCGACGTCTCGTTCAAGCTATTATCCTAAGTTCAGTGTTAAGAAGCTCACAATATTTACATAACTAACTATTATCAATGTGGTCATTCCTGCTGAAGACTAAGTTCATTTACTGTAAATTCTCTATCGTTGCATGTGCTCGCGCATCGAATGCCTTCTTTCCGATGTGCTCGCGTCGGCGACCAAATGTTCTTTTGTGCACAGCTATATATCGACATGTTTTTATTATTTTTTAAACAGTGTGCTCAAATTATCTCAACATTTAAAAAAGTGGGTTTTAATAAAAATGCATTATGTAATTTTAAGTAATAAAAAATTACAGTTTAATAATTGATTTTTCACCAGGAATGTTAATATTCAAATAACATTAAAACGGAGGAAATTGAGGGAAGTCTCTGGCATCGAGATTGTTATAAAAATGAAATATAGGCAATTCGAAGTACGATCATATGTGGCAGCCCATATATTTGTGATCATTTTCCCTCCTTATGAAGCTGAATAAGAGATACCATCAAGAAAACCTCGTACGATATTTTCCGGGTAATCATGACATTATTATGAGTATTGTTTAATAGAACTCAAGGGGCATAATCTTTTTTATACTATGTCGTAAACGGTTATGAATAAATAGAATTCGCTGATTTGAAATTAGAATAACATTATGTACTCTTGTCGGAAATTAGAGCAGAAAGTAATCATGATTTTTTAAGAATGAATTTGTTTGGCTTTGGTAGAACCATCTTAATTAATTAAACATAGTTAATGAAAAATCATTGATTAATGTTATAAATGAAAAATATTCAATATTATCAGTATTTTGCATTAAGCTGCATGTTAAATTTGCGATTACGTCCTACACACGCCAATTACATTATGAGCCATACAAGCTATTAAAATACTGTACCCAAATCAAATATATATGTCTAATTTGCATTATTTTGTATTTCACATTGACAACAAATATTTCCAAAATAAAATATGGTACTTCAACTGTAATAGTCCGCCATTCTCGCAATTGCTCTTTCAATTTACGTGCTACGGTTGGAATTGCGCATTCTCATTGGCTTTCCCTACTCCTAGAATGGGTCTTATCCCATCTTTACCCATACACGCGGCCCGGATTTGCACTCTAGTTGCTCGCGCACGGCTCTCGAGGTCAAAGTGCAAAATGCTGTGCAGGCCTGCTCTATGTGGTGTCTTCATCTATGTTTTGTTCTGTTCATACGTACTTCTTTGAACATCAGTAAATATTTTAGTGAGACTGCCCCAGTATGGTACTAATTTATATCAAATTATAAAACTAAAATGCTGAAAACGTTAAACGTATGTAATAATATGAGACTTTTTACCAGTGAATAGCGTATTATTTGATGTATTAATACGACCATTTAAAAAAATTAACCATTATGAATATTCATGCGTATAAAGATAAAGAAAACGGCGAATGATTTTAACAGGCACAATTCTCTGTGCTGGAGAGTACCTTGTGATTTTATTCCTTCTGTTGGTGCAATTGTAAGCCAGACTTAGTGTAATTACAAGTGGCATTAATACGTTTATTGTTATTATTATTATTATTATTATTATTATTATTATTATTATTATTATTATTATTACGTTTAGGGTGTTTTACTTTCTCTTTAGTGAAAGTATCATAGTCTACAGTGTTCACTAATCTCACTGACATTCTGGTTTCGCAAACAGCGGGGCGAGTGGCAACCGCTGTTAAAACGAAGTCTCTCCTTACGTTGGCACTGGCACTGCAATTGGCACTGCGCAAGGGAGCGGAGGGGGGTTGGGGAGGCCGCCAGGCGACTTTAGCCGCCCTACCTGTTCGAAGGCACCGCCCGAAAACACTGGGAATGTCAATCACGTCTCCAAACTTTTGCTTTTTGCTCTTAATGAAACGCTAAGCTGGGATTTACGAACGTGCCACGGCCGCCCCTCGTCCTTAGTTGTGGCTTCAACGACAACACTTATTGAGAAATATTCTGGGAAATATTAATTTCTTCATTTCTTGCCTTTGTGAGAGGAATTTGAAAAAAATATCTGTCGTACTGATGTTTAAGGAACTTTTCATCTTTCAGAAATCCCCGAGGAAGTTGGAGTATCATACTCGACAGCCTGAAAAAATAATATATCTGTTTTTTTTGTTACATTAAAAAATGTCGAAGCCAAAGCACTCTCCGTGACTCCTAGAAAATTCGTTGAGAAACCTCGTGCTTCTACAAAAGTTTGCCAAATAAACCAATGTCTTCGAATTTTAGTTATTTGAAATATACAATGTTTATTAAAAATGTAGTGAATTTAGAGGTGTTTTATTGAATTATCACATCTCATAAATCGATTTTTGTTCTTTAATTATTGTCGTTTAAAAATTTGAATATATATTTATTGTTCCCAAGTATTTTTTTATTACAATCAAGAATTTTATTTGTGACTTCAAAATAAATACAGTTAGTTATCATGACATTATGTGTTGAGAGGGAAACGTACCACTGAACAGATTCAGAAAGGTATGTAGAAAAAAATAATAAAAGTTAAAGATAAGTAACCCAAAGGAAAGTATTTTATTTTGTGTAAAAGATTATCATAAATATTTTTTCTTTCAACTAATGAGTTCAACTAATGATTTAATTTAATGTTTCTACTACTATTAAGCCAGAAATGCGATTGCTTCCCTATAGAAAATATCTAATGATGTTGTTTAAACCATTGAAAGCTGTTTATATAACTAATTATAGTTATATAATTATAGTTATATTAGTTAATATATTTAATAAACAAAACTTGTGACTAGGATAACGCCTTTAATCACATATTTGGAATGCCCACAGCACATCACCAATTAACCAAGGGCGTTCAGATTACGTAATTAAGATTTTTGCGCATTGGCCAAAATAAGGAACCGGTTGGAATAACGGTCGAATATCTCTCGCTCGTAACCGCTAACAGATTATTGGCGGTTACACGATGATGACGTGTTGATTTGTTAAATTAATTACCAGGGCAAGAAGGAAAGTTCGCTGTCAACGCTAAAAAAACCTAAAGCGTCCGCGAAGTGAGATTAAAAAAAAATCCTCTTTCCCTCGGCACCCGTTAGGGGAGTGGGAGCTCCGATTTCCGCTTCGCGCGCCCGGGCCGATCGTGGCGGCCGGCGTGGAGATGTTGGGCGGCGATAGGCGGCCGGGCGGGGGGTGGGTGAGAGGGGCGGAGACCGCGATAGGTGGCCGGGCGGGGGCGGGGGCGGTGAGTCGGCTGCTTTGTGGGGGTGTCGCCGGAGATTATCAGCCGTCGCCGGCTGTAACGAGGCAATTGCCCGCGCGTGCGACGGCGCGCTCGTATCTCCACGATCCGTTTCGTGTAACGCGGACCGCGGCATTTGTCGCCCTGCGTTGCCCTGGCCCAGGCCTGGCGTGAAATTAGCCTCAGCCCCCGGCGCGCGTAAACGTGCATCGATGATTCAAAGTGCTTGTGGGTAAGGGGGTATTTATTATGAATATTTTATTGTATTACGTATGTAACACCCATCCATGTACTGTGTGTGCCGTGTTTATTCAACGTGAGATTCAAATTTTCGTGCACATTAATAGATAAGCAGTGATTTTTATTGTGTGACATGTCCCCGCGCATTTAGCTCCGTGCTCGTGACTGTTTCATAACCGAAAATTTCTAGAGTGAATGTTGCTTCTCTGAGAGTAATCGTTTACGAAGTGTAATCACGGACATCGAACGGAACAATGTTCAGTAAAGATTTTAACCCAATGGAAATTTTTGGGTATATTTCTTGTCGGTTGTTCGTACACCCTCGCGTCGTTACTAGTACGTTATACGTAATGGCAGAGAAAGATCCCAGAAATAAATACGTGTCTCCGATCATAGAAGTTTACATCTTCATTGTTTCGACTTGTGTCAAAAACATTCTCACGCATGGATTTCCGGAGTCAGATTTGCTGCGGGCATCACCTTTTGCTTAGGCAGGGTGTCGAGAAGGTACCAGGACGATTCACTCTTGTCATCGCCGCAGTGAAACAGACATCGAGGGTAACGATCGAGAGTGAAGCAACGAGTGACAGGGACCATTTTCCGAAGGGTCGCCAAGGGCGTGTGAAGCTGGTTGCTGGTCGCGGGGGTTTGATGGGCGGGCACAGCGATGACGGGGGTTCGGTGAGATGAAGCGACATTGCGCAGTGAGAGAGAGAATGTTTAGTATTTCTAAAACAGATGAGAGCGCATTTCTCTTGGAGGAAGTTCACAGAATGGCGGCCGAAGCGTTGGTACCTGGGCCTAGGACAAGGCCTTGCACGGACTGCCAAGTAACTACTTTCTAAAACAGAGTTTTCCGGAAATGCAATAATTCTGTATTCGCTGAAAATACAGAATTAAAATAATTTAAAACCAAGTAAAACTTTGGAAGGTCAGTTAATGTCTACGGCGCGAACATGGAAATGTATCACAATTGATTCTCTCAA